GCACCAGAACAGTCCATTCCTGAAGGATGGCCCCCCATGTAAGGGACCCACACCAGAACAGTTAGAGGAGAAAACTGCAGCCTATTGAAAGGACTCAAGGAGAAGTTCATGGAGGGCTGTATCCCATGGGAGGGACTCTATGCTGGACAGAGGCAGAGTGTGAGGTGTTCTCCCCCAGAGGTAAGAAGGGCAGAGACAAGTGTGGTGAACTGACTGGGAATCCTCCAGCCCCCACATCCCTGCAGCAGCACAGAGGAGGTAGAGAAACCAGGAGCAAAGCTGAGCCCAGGAAGAAGCTGCGTTTAAGAAATGGTTTTATTTCTCACTGCCCTATTCCGATTGGATTGTTAAGATTTAATTGACTTTTTTTCCCAAGTTAAGGCTTGCCAGTGACCATAATGGGTGAGTGATCCCTCCCTGTCCTCACCTTGACCCATGAGCTTTTCCTTGTATTTTCCACTTCCCATCCCCAAGGGATGAGCGATCAGCTGTGGGGTGCTTAGTTGCCAGCTGGGCCTAAACCATGATACACAGAGTAGCTAAAAAATGCACAGTGGTACAGTAAGCTATTCTTAGCAAGTGTACTTCTAGTGAACAGTGTTAAGTGTAAGATTTTGCCAAACATTTCAGTAATCACAAAAGAAATACCTGAGTAGCTTAAATTAGTATCAGTGGGTTTGCCTGGTAAATGAAGCTGAATACTCAGTGGGAAACAAAACAACAGCATACCACAGCTACTCACTGACTCTTGAAACCAATGGAATGTCTTAGAGAACGTGCTGTGATGCGAATCTCGAGCCTACTAAAGCCAAGGACTAAAATCACTGAGATTAAATTATACCCTACTGTCCAACATAAGTGAAGACAAAAAGGAAAGCAGCAACACTGAGAAACATCTGCTTCTTGTTTCTGAATCATGTATTCTACTGAAATTCTTTCCTTAACATTATTATTTTTTTAAACCCAGATGCATCTGAGGCAGAAATTGAACATTGACAGTAAAAGCAGCATTGAATAGTCAAAAAGGCAATAAATCCAATGCATGTTAGGGAATTCTACTTAAGATGTAAGTAACATCTGAATAGCCAAAAAGTCTCTTGATCACAGTCACAGGACTGCAAGAAAGCCCAAACAATGTCACTTCTTGATAAGCGAAGTACATGACAAAGTACTAGCTACAAAAGCTATCTGCGCACAATTAATTCCTGCAATTTTTGAAGAACTGAACTTGCTGGATGTTGGTGCCAGACTCATGAAAAACCAGAAATCCAGACCTTCCTCAGAAGTCGGTCCTCTTAAACATTGTATAGCATGGAAAGAACTGAATCTCTAGAGATGTCCCGTTTCTCAGAAGTGTTTGATATCGGGCAATTAAATCAAAATATTAAAATATGTTCCAGAAAAGGATACCATAAAACAAACTTCCTGAATGATGGCTTTATTCTTTTCTTCTTCATTAGACAACAATCGCTGTCAGAAAACAGAATAATGGAGAAGATTGTTATTAAAACTTACAGAAACAGTGCAGTTTTTTTTTCCCGAGACCACAGAGGTTAAGCTACAGTCAAAAACCTAAGGAACTGTGATGGGACAGTAAACAAAGCAGGCTTATTGTACATTTGGACATACTGACATAAACACCCAGTTTCCCAGCTACCTGTACTGTTCAGGTTTAGTTAAAACTGAGCGGTTTTAACTTTTGATACTCAAAGTAACTGCTCTGAGTTTTCTGTTGTATAAAACACTGAATTCTCCTGGCTACAGCCTTGTGCACTGGCAAGGAAAGATTCATCTTCCACCTCAAGTCTTGAAGAGCAATCTTCAACCCACTCCAACCAAAACTTCTTCAAATTATGTAACTCAAGTTTTTCAATGGTACCTGACTAATCAGCAGCAAAAGCAAGCATTATTATTTCCAGTATCACTTGGATTTGGAGTCAATATTTGACTGGAATCAATCTGAGCATTTGCCACAAAAGTATTTATTTTACAAAACAAAGGATGTACAATAATGGTTCACCTTTTATCTATTATCTTCAATTGGGACTACTTCTAGATGACATTTTGAACACACATACTATATGGGTTCAGTCACATGTTTTGTCACTGCAGTATGAACAGGAAAAAACAGACCAACTAATTACTGGTGGTGTAATGCCATCTTACCACTCTCACCTCTCATACTACTACCCTTTCAGTTTCTCTCCAGGATAGATGTCTTCTGATACAGCTACAGAACACCCCTACTCCAAAAATTAAGCCATTTTGTGGAGAACACAAGCGATAATTTTTTGCAGCAAAATATGACAAAGAAATTACTTCGCTTTATTGTCCTTTCCACAATACTTCAGTTTAGCTGTTACATGATTATTATAAGACACCAGAAAACAAGAATCCAGGGGTATCTCTGAAAAGTGCCAGGCTTAATATTCAATCAATGAGTCGAAGTGTGGAGCATTATTTTTAATACTGATTAAACTTACTCTGGAAGTACAAAGGTAGGCTAAATCATCTGAGGAGTGAAAATATTCCTATACCCCACTTCAGGTAACTAGGAAAGATCCTTTTAACCCATGCAACAAAAGGCCTGGAGCAGGGTCATGATTTTCTAAACCAAATGAAGACAAACAGCGGTAGTACCTGTATTCAGCAACTCCCATCTTTGGCATCGAAGTATAAAGCGCAGGGTCCTAACAGGAATGACCATTCTAAATATAGGCAGTGTATGCTACCAACACCACTTTGTCATTCTGGATATTTCCAAATTACTTGTTCAGTGGTCATCAAGCCAAAAGACAGAACTTATAAACCCGTAGTGAAGGCATTTTACCTTTAAAGCATAATCTTTGCCACTTCCAAGATCTTGAGCTTCATAGACAAAAGCAAAACCACCTACAAGAAGAAAGCACATCAAGTTAGTTTTAACTTCAACATCCAGGTAAATAATTTTTAGTCTAACAGAGCTAATATATGGATCTAGATGCTTTTCTGAACATACAAAGTATACATATTTTTTCAGTGGCTTACCGAGAGTATGAGTATGCCACACACAAGAGCTAAAATATACTCTTCCTCTTACACATGCCAGAAGCACACTGACTTTGCCACTTTCCTGTGTTTTGTTAGTCTGCATATGCAGATTTCCTACGAAGCTTTTTTTTTAATGCAGTCCTTATACAACCAAGATTCACTACAGTCAGTAATACATGGTTTTACTTAAACTATTTCCTGGCTTTACACTGTCAGGCTTCCTACAAAAACAGCAATAACCAAGGAAGATAAAATGTTAAATATACACCTCCTCATACTTTTAGGATAATTGCCACACTTCATATTAAAAGCGTAATGCGTTTTCAAGCACTGAAGCACACACTTCCAATACCAGTGATGGTGTTACTAAATTGCCATTTTTCATTCCATATAACATTTCCTTCCAACTCCTTTTTGTATTTCGAATACTGCCAATTCGCTCAAGAACACTGTGTAAATTTCTACAAAATAAAAAGACAAAAAGTTACAGGTCTCCTTCCTAAGCTTCCTTAACTGCTAATTATATTAGTCTAACTGTATCAAAAGAACGTATTTTTATGGTTCTACTCCATTTTAACAATCCTGGTATCACTTCCATTTCTTCTGGGAATGTCATCCTTGTGGTTACATCAGTGTGGTTGCATATATACTCTCTCTCTGCCAATTGCAGAGTATGTCTAGTAGAATAACAGCCAAAGTGACAAACTTCAATGATTTGCCTTTCTACTCCATTAACGTAAAATTTATTCTCATTGAATTACATAGCAATGCTCTCCAGCAATAATTTGGAGAATAAGCACAGCAAATGTCAGTGAACTACAAATTGCTACTTGTCAAAAAGGTTAAGAGTATAGGATAACTGAAGAATAAACCATTACAGACAAGAAACAAGTTGACAAGGCACTTTTTTTTAAAAAAATAAGGATGCAGGATGCAGATCAGTACAGTCAGATTAGTACACAATACCTTTGCTGTGGATAAGGAATGTTAACTTGAGGCTGAAGTGAACACAGTATTTGCTTGGTGCGATTCAGTCAAATAAAAGGCTTTTCAAGAAATAGTCTCAGAAGTTTTACATGGCAATTGACCATTACAGGTGTTCTCCAAGACTCCTGCATGGTACTGCTCACACATCTTACCACTTTGCCAGCAGCATCCATGCAATGAATAAACGACAGGTTCCTGGTTATTGCCTTAGCTTTTTCTATTTAAAGGAGAATTATACACAGAAAGAGTAACACCAAGATCCAAGTTGCAGGGAGGAAAATCAAAAGAGATTAACTGGTGCACCACTGAAGAGTTAAAATATCAGTGAGAACACTGAAGATGACAGGCAGCAAGGGCTGAAGTACTGTCCCACCACACATTAACCCTGCCTGTATTATGCTTATCAGTTTATTTGACTCACTCCATAAAATCAGGTTCAGCACTTCACACAACAGGAAGTCCTCTCAGCTTTCCTGAAGACCCCAGTGCAAGTGTGCCGACCAGCAATTACAATCACCATTTTGGGCAATGATGGGTCAGGGGCCAGAAACAGAATTAAGTCCACACTTCCCACCACCTTAGAGTATTACCTTGAAGAAACTCTACTCATTTCTAAATGAGGACATATTCAAGGAAAGCATGGTTCTGGACAGTGCTGATCAGTTAGGACTTGTGTTCACACATTTCACTGAGCTGGTGAAACAAACATGATAATTTGTGAGCCATCCTTCCACTGAAGCTGTGTCCTGGAAAAGTATGGTTTCTGACTGTTCTTCCCAACCACTTCCTTATTCACAACCAGAGCCATGCTCCCAGTTTCCGAGCCCACTGTCCCAGTGATTTGTAAGCTCCTACACCAGTGTACACCAGTCACTACACCACAGAGCTACTGCCTCTAGGTCTTTGTCTTACACAGATCCCACCAATCTTCTATACAGTGAAAGTACTGCTGGCCCTACAGAAGAAAGTCTTTACATTCATCTGGAGAAAAAAAAAAATCTTGATTTTATTCTAACAATCCCGCAAGCTACATCTTGAAAATATATACTTCAATTTACAAAATTAGGGTCTTCAGGTCAGTCCATATTTCTAATACACAAAATGACTGCACAGTTAGCTTTCTGGCAGGCACTTGTGGAGAATGGTGACAGAGGCATCCCACATTATGGAACGGTTATTCACACTGCCAAAGGTTCTACCAGGGCTGGAATGGGGTATGCCTACTCTGCATTTCAAGCATACACCCTGCTACTACCACTACAAGGGCCAGCGTATCCATAGACCTAAGTACATGCACTCCAAGATGTAACTATGCTTCATTCAAACACATAAAATACCCTCCTGGAAATTATCCAGGTGAAAGCACCTATGTTATCAGTATTAACTCAGATCAATCCATCATCTTCGAGCATATATCTCATTAACAACCAAGCTGATCCAAGCTGACCCAGCTCTGAAAAAGGCCCTAGAAGCACTGCTACTTTTTCAACTAGTCTGATAAGCTTTCCTACAAGCTCTTCCTCCAAAAGAAGAAATGCTTACAATATGGACCAAGATGCACATATTCACTAAGCTTTAATCCTGTTGACACAGAGTACAAATGAGTAAAAGGAGTAATTAGTTTACCCAATTAAAAAAATACTACAGTTAAGTCTTCAAAAAAGCCACATTTCAAGTTTTCATGGAAGTTCTGATCATCATACAGCCCTTAAAAAACTGAGACATTCACACTTGTCTCTGCAAATAATTTTGAAATTAAGGCCTAAAAATCAACCACATCGATGAAAACTGCACAAGTTAATTTCTTGATGGAGATGGTTGAAGTATTTTTTGTTGCATTTAAAAGAACCTCATTTCCAACCAAAAAAATTGATTTCAGTTCTCTTAACTGCTACATAGGAATCTAAAGAAATTAAATATTCAGCTTCTTAACTACTTCAAAATATATACTGGTTGTAAGTTTGAAAAATGAGAAATGTACGTTTTGGCACAGCAGTATAAGTGAACATTTTGAGCAATTCAGGCCATTTAAAAAGGGTAAATTGTTATTACTGACCAAAGTTCATACAATCTCTGCTTAGGTTAAAGCACAGCTATTTGACATCAAGTGAAGCATCACTGACCTTAACTGGAAATGCAGTGAGATCTCCATACAAGTGCCCAAACCAAGATTTTGCTGATGTCAAATTTATGGCTGGTGACACTCAACCTGCGTATCAGCAAATGGCTTGGTTTAATTGCTGTATTTTTTTAGCATGGGTTAACAAAAGGAAAAGTAATGAAGAGAGTGTTCTTTAAGGCCATTTAAATGTTGGTGCAGCTTACCAGAGCTCCTAGCAATAGTTAGGCAGCAAGATTGCACAATTTATACAGAGGTATTAGAATAGTAAGCTGAAGGGAGAAACTTCATTAAAATAATGACAGCTTAAAAAACTAAGTAACTTAAAAGATGCACTTTTACTTCAGCAGCTGTATCTCAAAGTCAAGTACTGAAATGCTAAACAGAGTTAAGTCCACTGAACTTTTCAGAACCCTGAACAAAAGCCAGTGGTATCATGTCTGGTTAAATTCTTACTTCACTGCACCCTGTTTAGCTATAACCACACCCATGATTTCACAGTCAGCACAGCCATGTCAGTAAAGGATCACACCTCTACATCAACACACCTGTAAGAACAAACACCTGTATAGCAGACTCAGCTGAGGCAAATGACAAAATCAAAGTTGCAGGTAGGGCTGCTTTGCTTTCTTTCCCAGGGGTGTAGAAACAATGTAGTTTTATCTGAGGCACTTTCACTCATTATTTCCATTCATGTAATCATTTGTCCAAGGCTTTGTCAGTTTTCTGAAGCTTTTATACCAGTAAAATCATCTCAGCATTTCCCCATACAGGTTACCAGTGTGTATATATGTACACACCTATCCAAGCTCTTGCCCCGAGACTCAAGTTTTTCACTGCTGAAATACTAAACAGTCCCATTTTCAGAACACATCCCAAGCTCTCAAAACCTGTGCTACATTATTATTTTCTGCCACAGAAATTATGGCACAGGAAAAATTGGTTCTCTTTTCTGTAGACAAACTTGCGTGTAAGAGGTTCACTAGAGCTCCACACCATCTCACAAAAATGGAGTAGCCAAAGTACGAGATCAAGCAGACCTAGAGAAACACGCTACAGCATAAAGTTCACCAGCCTCACCTTCAAGACCCACACTGAGACCGTCTGATGACTTCCTTTGCATTAGGAACTAACCCTACCTCATTTGTTTTAATGGCGAGTACTCTGCACTCATCCTTACACCACCAGAGCCCATGGGCATTGTTCCTGTCAGTACTCCATCATCCTCTTAAAGATTCAAATACCCTTTCTTTTCCAACCAAAAGGTTTGCCATGTCCCTCGAGTCAAACCTAGCCATCACATAAATCAAATTGGATTTCTGTGATGTTTTTCCCAGTTTCAATGATTTCTCAAACGATTTCAGTGAAATTAGAGTTAACCTAATTGTCAGCCAGTGAAGCATCAAAATAGGGATATTAACTACAAAGAACTCCTTGCTACTGTAGTGCATTGTCTCACAATGCACTTAAGTTATGAGCATGGGATGGTGTGAATAACTTCCTGTTTATAACTACCTGATATGACCTGTCTGCTTCCCTCTCAAATACTAACCAAATTTGTTTCCATATCAATTTTGAGTAGCCTATGGTTTAATTATAACTTGACTGAAACACCATAATTCCAGCCTTGACTAAAAGTTACAGTGCATCTTACCTGAAAGATGACAGATGCTTTTCCACCAGAGTACAAACATCTTTAATCAAAACAGGCAGGATGCTCTATCATATTTGCCAGTCACTAATGGATTAAGCATAT